CAATACTTATTTATTATACTTATTACACTTTATTGCGTCGACTCGTACCATTCGGCCCTCGATCGCGGCACAATGCTGCGGTGGTTCGAGTCCTATCTCAGCAATAGATTCGAATGCGCTCGACGCGGGAACTCTTCTTCTACGTCATCGTTGGTCACCTGCTGCGTACCACAGGGATCAGTTCTCGGCCCGATCCTCTTCCTGTTATAAACTGTCGACGTATTGCATATAATCGATTCACATAATTTGAATCCAATTTGTTCGCCGACGACACCCAAATTTATGGCTACGGTGTACCGGCTGACGCCGCTGCGTTGCAGGATCGAATGTCTGCCTGCATGGACGCCGTCTCGGACTGGATGCGCTCCAATCGGCTCCAGCTCAATGCATTAAAAACCGACTTTATTTGGTTTGCGACTGCTCGGTGCCGGCATCAGCTTCCGGCCAACCCTGTTCGCGTGGGCAACAAGTTCGTCACGCCTGCGTCCGCAGTTCGCAGCCTGGGAATTCTGCTGGACTCGATCTTTCAATGAACAGTAAAATTGCCAAAGTCACCACTGCTGTCCTTGAGGCCTCCATTAGCCGCTGTCTTTCGAGGCCGGTCCTTTAGACTCTTGTGGTGGGGCTCGTTCTGACCAGATTGTACTATGGTAATAGCACACTTTATGGACTGCCGACCTCGGCACTTAATAAACTGTAATCCATAATGAACGCTGCTGCTCGACTCGTGTGCAATGAGCGAAAATTCGACCATGTGACGCCGATATTGCGCGATCTTCACTGGCTGTGCATTCAGCAGCACACGCAGTCATTCCGCAGTCAAGGTCGCTGTTCTGACATACCGATGCCTTCACGGTCGGGCGCCTCTTTATCTCACGGAAGGCCTGCAGCGCGTGTCGGATCTGCCTTCTAGAAGACGATTGCGCTCGTCATCAACAGCGGACCTCGTCGTACCCACTACACGTCTATCTACCGTCGGCGACAGAGCGTTCCCGGTCGCCGCCATTGAAGGCAAGAATACAGGAAGCCGCCAGAACCTGGAACAGTCTGCCGGTTTCCTTAACTTCGGCTCCTTCGTTGCAGGTGTTTCGTCGACGCCTAAAGACGGAACTGTTTCGCAGAGCCTATGAATCAGTTGCTTAGTCATTTTATCCGTTCCTATACTTTCTTGTGTCTGTTTATTTTTCGCTTGCTATTAATCTTATGTGTGACGTGCCCTCGAAATTCGTTTGAATTAGACGCCACGATATAAATGCTTCGTAGAACAATAATGATAATACTTATACTGTATAACTGTTAAAATTCTGTGGCAATTGTAGTCTTTTTCTGATTTTGTGCTTGGTATACTGCTTGACAGCCCCATCGTTTTATCTACACTATACTAGGTGATCTTTTAACTATAAATCCATTCAGCTCACTATTGTAGAGCGTCCAGTGACCCAATAATATGTACATGTTCTAGTCACTGATAGTAATTACGGTGATGACCTGAGAAACTTTTCAAGCACCCTCAGTTAAATAAAGTTTAATTAATTAGTTGTTCGATGTTTATCAAATTCGTTTATGAAACATTTTCTGACACATTCTAGTGAAAGAAATATGTTTTTTCTTTCTAATTTATTCATATAGGAGCACTGGAAACTAGTCCATAAAGCCCCTTGCCTAAACTGGGTTTAATTGGTACCTAACAGTCTAACAGCTCTGAAAGTGAAAGAAATATGTCTATCGCATTGTGTAGGCGAGCAAATTCGGCCCTCAACCTACGGATGGATATATTCGCAGCTACGCATAAATTCAGCGAATTAGGATAAAATCGATTGCTTCCTCCCGAGTGTGATCGGAGCCACACGCGCTACCTCGAAAGCCTGAATTATGATATATGTTATATATACGGGTATAAAGACCACGCAAAATGAGTCAGATTTTTCTGATTCCTGTTTTCGTTAAGGAGTTAATGTTTTTTTCAGGATGTGGAACTTTGTGCTTTCCTTATTCATTCATTTCATTTTCCTTATTCATTTTATGATGAGATCATTCTGTATTAAAAGGCAATAGTTTGACAAGCTAATATATGAAACCTTAGCGCTCTAAAAACATCTGTTTTCAATTTACTTTGGTTCAACGCTTAAACTGAGACAGAAATTCAGGTACTGCCGTTATGAAATTATTTCAATTATTGAATTATTATATATTAGCGACAATTTTAATATTTGCCCAAAGATTTGACTCGGAAACTCATTTCAGTTATTAAAAATAGGTTCATAAAATTTTTTCTTTCCATTCATTGTACATCCACAATAACTTGTTTTGGATTTAGTGATAAGACATGGATGACCAAAAAGAAACATTCAAAAAAATTTACTCATCCGCTATCTATAATTAGTTTCGCCTTCTACGGCTCTGAATTCTAAAACATTTAACTTCGGAATCCAGGAATGTCGCTGTTTTTCGAAACTGCTTTGACATCTAATTTAAATTCAAGTCATATACCCAGCGGTCCCACCTGGAGATGAATTCCAAGCCAAGAGTTTAAGCAAAATAGAGAACCTGGCAACAACGTCCGGGTCGTGAAAAATACTTTATGTTCATTTCTTAATAAAAGAAGCATGGGCCTAAAAGTATTAGGACTCATAAATTGGGGATTATTTAATTCATCAGTTAAATTAAGACTGTCAGAAAATCGGAAAACAAAACATGTTTTACCTAAGTTTAAAAAAACTTCGCAGGCCATAGAAGTGAGGACCACGACGAAAGCGATTTAATGTTATTATTATTTTCAATACACATGCTAAAAAAAAGATTTATGCAAGGAAACACGAATGTTCGATGAGCTCTTCGGGCTTACTTTGCTGTTTTTTTTTCAAAATGCTTGGCGAGAGTGTTTTATTTTTTCTACAAATCGTTACAAATAATTTTATTGTGAAAAACACTCGAAATTACGAGAAACCCAACGTTTGCCATACATATAACAAAATTTGATCGGATTTCATAATATTAACAAAATTAAATCCATAAACAGTTCACCATACATTTCATGTAGATTTGAGGCACTCACCAGTTTGATAAGCATTCACCATTTTACGTTCAGGTAAGTGAGTAAAAATTTGCAATGGCGAATTTTTACGTGACGAATAGTAATCCAATGATTGTAGCTCACCCAAAGTGATACCAAGTTCTTGACTTGATACATTAAATAAAAACAAAGGACAAAAAGTAAATTTCAAATATTCTTCTAATTATTGAATATAAAAACTTATGCCAATGAATAAAAATCATATGAAAAGAGATTGTTAAGCACTCTGAACGCACACTCAACGACAATATTGATCTAATGAAATGGATGGAATTTTCGGAGTGTGGATGGAATGCAGATTTGGATTTTTTAGAGCATGAGCATTATGACTGCCATTTATATCCGCATGTACGACATTTTCGCGTTCCGGTAAGGATAGAAATGTGATGATTGGGATAAAAAATTCCATCCCTTAAAGACAGAAATTTTGTGGCTGGTCCTCCATAAAAAGCCAGGGTAATATCCATTATAGTTTCGTTTATTGAACAGTCGCGAGTAACTGGTGTGAACATCTGAAATTTGCACGGACTGGACAAAATTGGGGTTAACGTATATATTTCCTCACTTATTCATAGAATCGATGAAATTTTTCAGAGGCTGATAACCATTCATTATTTATAAAGTCCCTTATCACTTTATTGGAAATAGCGACTCTTGGTCTCAAAATAATTAGATGACCACTTTTCATTTGTTGTGATGAATTTCGTAGAATTCAATAACTGTCTCAATACTAAGTGAAATTTTTCTGAATCAGTCTGTAAAAAAATTGTGGATGCCACCTTAGGTAGCTGGAATCGAGAGATCTTCAACTAATAATCGCAATTCCCTTATTTTGCAATTGGTACCATGCATGGTGGCAGCTTATTTATCATACTCATCAGGTTTTGATACAGGATATTCTATATGTAAGTCCAACGCCAAATTTAATGAAGCTCAGATTATTTTTTATTCTTCTAAAATAATATCGCAAAACTTTATTCAATGTAACTATTCGCAGTTCGGTCGCCTCCTGCCGGACTTGTAGAGTTAAATGTCTTACTATTCTTGTTTGTTCTGATCTCTAATGCACTTATGTGTTTACTGAGAGCGGTCCATGGAAATTTGTAACATACGGTTTAGACACGCGCGCCAATTAACACTAATTCATGAAAACCACACCAATGCTGATATTTAAATATAAATATGATTACGTAATACTGTAGATACTAATAATATTGGAGTTAACTAAAAATATTTCGCTCTTTATTTTTCAGTTAAAACTGAAGGGAAATGGTTATTTATGTGTGTGTTCTTGTAGCGAAGCTCACGTTCAAAAACCACGAGCACCGCCCAATTAAGGGAATCTAGAATCAGAGCGAGGAAATGTTGCGGCAAGATTTTACCAACTAATTTAATTGGCACGGTTCTTATCATTTCAATTCGTGATCAATAGAGCTTTCTATCAATGTGTGTTGCTTTGTACGATTTATTAAGTGATTATTGTAGAAACTAATCCTCGTTAAACATCACCTCTCAACTGACTGACATCAGCACCGTGTAGATGAAAATGTTAGTTCTGTTCGTTGATTGTAGATTTTTTTTTGTGAAATACACGGTTCACATTTTGGGGTCATGCAACTCACGCAGCTCTGATCATTTATTTTCCAGAAAATATAAACAATTTTGGTTTGTTCAAGGGTTAATTTTTTTAGAATACTTTCAAATTACTGCGGCAGCTTGATAATGAACTTTAACAAGATATAACAAAAACGTTCTATAATCGTGAGAAAAATACTGGTTTAGAAAATGGAAATTTTAATTTGTTCCGATCAACATTATTAGTCGTAATTAATTCTCTTAATTACACTGCTATATATATGTACATTTTACACTCAATTCAATTTTTAGCATTAGCTTCACTTTTCGAAAATAATGAAAGTAATTCCACCTACTTGTACTGGCGAATGTCGTTGCCGTTCCGTGAATCGCTCGTTGCTCGTAGCTTCAGCACCAAGATCCTGATGATGTTGATGAAGAAAATCACGTTTATCTGCGCGAAATAAAGGGTTAATTTTATTATTAAATCTGGTGAGTAGATACTAGAATACATAATTTACTACCTAATCATTTTTTAGAGCAGCTTGATGCTGTCGTGCGCATAGTGGCAGGTTTAATGTTCATTTAAATCACGGTCCCAGTAAAATACTTTATTACACAAGACGTTACATTTACATTAGAAGTTTTCTTCACAGACGAGACTTAAGCACACAATATGGGCATCTATTTGCTTCAGTCCGGGGGACAAGTTTACGAAACACAAGATGCTGCTTTCACGACCACGTTCCTACTGCTACCTTTTCCAATCCGCACTTTCCCAGCACAGTGTCAGTACTCTCTAAAACATTTTTACAATTCAAACCTTCTAATCCTAATTCTAACTTGACAACACATTTATATAATAAAAGCATAATACCTAACAATAAAATAAAGTTTAAATTAGGACCTTTACAATGCCTACAGTAAAAAATTCGCACTAAATTATTATTTAATATTAAGCACATTTCGGACCTTAGGAGGCTGGAGCCTAGGTTTACGTGTGCAATACTTCATTCTAATTAGATTCCCCATTTTATCTCTCTCTAACCTAATTGGCTATTCCTTCACATTATTTCCCTCACAATTTTTACCTGGACTGCACGCTGATAGTGTGGCAGGTAACTGTGCAGGGAACGATTACGAGAACAAATCAATGTGCAGTCATGCGGGGCGATCAAGCAGAGGCAGTTGAAGGCTACAAAGCAAATTTGCATGGAATAACTTCGATAAATTTCCGCCAGTTTTTCAGGCTAACATATTTTAAATAATAATAAAGCTTAACATACATGACAGTGTAATGAACAACAAAATGAACGAAATCAAAATACAACAGAATGATGAAGCCACAAGAGATCACTTGAAATAAGCCAAACATAGTTATGTATATACGCATAACATTAAGTTCTGTATTGAAGTCCAAAGATAACGTTATGAAAGGTAGGCCAAACATAGTCATGTGAGGCAGGCCACAGTCATAATGAATAGGCTTAACATAAAGTCATGCTAGTCAGAAAATTAGTAGGATCTAAGCAACTAAACTTGGAATGAAAACCTAAAAATAACTTCAAGATATGAACGATATGCGAGATAAAAAGAGTGATGATGAAATAAATGATAATGATTGAAAAATATAAATTTACATCCTAAAATTTTTTAAATTTATTGGAATGATCTATAATGGATGCTGTGATTATAGATGATGCAAGGAATATAAGCCAGCAAATTACAGTGAAGTAGTGCGTTTTCCAGTTCAATAATCCTCAATAATTTCATTCATATCAAGAAATAAATTTATCGAATATGGAATATGAGGGAAGCTCATTAGTCAGGAGCTTAATAATTTGTCATTGAATTCTCTACACCAGATCTCGGCTGCGAGTATTCGAATGTGTCTTACAAGAAAATTAATAACTCAAAACCAATAAAAATATGCAAGGGCTTGTATTTTAATTGTAATTATAAAAAATTGGCAATGACGTGAAGAAATGGGCATTCAGTCGAAGCTTAATCAGCGTAATACAGGGCACAATTCGAATTAAGTTTCGCGATTATAATGGTTAATCAAGAATTAATTTCTTCGCATGCGTGCCTAGATTATACATTGAAGACACTGAAGAGTAGGATCTAGATGATCTATAATTCAACACAGAATTAAATTTAAAAACTGCACACTGACGATGATGGCGGTGAAGGGCAGGATCATGAGGATCCATTCGATTCCTTCTTGCGGCAGAATGAGGCAGCCTGTCACTGACTTGTAGACCGCAGCCCTCACCACCACGTACACCGTCACCGGCAGCACCGGCAACCCTACACAGCGTATCAAACTAGAATTTAACACGATTACCATTTATTATTTAATTTATTATTATTAAAACAATCAGAATGCCACCAATAACTGCATGGCACTTTAACTTACCGACTGAAGGTACTGGCACTGAAGCTCTATTCTGGACATATTGAATTATCACATAATTATTATACCATTCTCAATCGCAATATAGCTGAAATGCATAAATAAAGCAATAATAAGCGCATGTCTATGCAAGTCTAACAAATAAAAGATAATGGTAGGGATTCAAGGGCTGTAACTGTGCATCGAGCACTAGCAACAGCAGCGCTGGTGTCATGATGTGTCACAGAAGAAGATTGCGTCTGGCGACGATCTTTTGTATGGAAAATATGAAAGAAAGAAAGCATTATGACGATCGCAATTATAACTGAAGAATTTTACCACGAGCCAAATAATTATGCCTCAGTCCCCATCCAGAGAAGCATAGAAGAACATGAAATATTTGCAGGTATGATAAAAATATGATTTCAAATGAGAGCATATACTGCGCTGAAATGATATGATTTCTAATGTGTTACTGCGAGTATGATAAAAATATCTTTCCCTATTGTCACAAGAAAATTTGAAGTGGGCTTCAGCAAGAGAGCGCAGTTATGTAGTAGTGTCATCTCGAGACATAATGGCACTAAGTTGAGGTGGAAAGGCAATGCGAAGATTCAAATCTCTATATTATTTGACTTAGTTTCTTCCGTATATACATGTCAAATCGAGTGATGCGCTACGAAATTGCCGGCAACTGCACTTAAGTTCGATTGGAAAAATGAAACTTATATAGTTCAAGTCATTTGTGCTACGGATTAGGTCCTGAAAAATTCAATATTCCTCACTTTTGCAAAAAGGTGAGAGATAAATAAAAACAAATAGAAAAAATTTAAGCGATTATCTTCAATGAACATAAAATGAGCTCTTAGTAAATTTCTCCCTGAAATATGCGTCTGAACACTTAATTACCTATAATTTTTGCCCCTTCCCCTATTTCATTTCTTATGATGGTTTTTGCACGCATAGCCCCTCACCCCATCCCAGGCAGTAGAAGATGAGGAAATTTCTCTGCTCAGCGAAGGCGGACGCTAGCAGGCGGTGGAGGTAGAAGCCTTCGTTGAAGAACCACGTGTAGTTACTCTGGCGTAGATACCTGAGTACTGTGTTCAGTACTACGCACCACCACGGGCTCTGTTACACAAAAAGTGAAGTTAAGAAATGATCAAATAATAATTGTCAAGTTATGGGCAAGGCAGAGCCATTACCTTAAATTAATGAGAGGATTGTGTACATTGCTTGGTTACGGTCTGGGCAAATGACATGACTATTGGTGCTGCTGGAACTCGAGAAAATTTGTTCTCAACAACACTACGAATTAAGTACACTGATCACGTACACATATTTCCAAGCGGGAAATTTCGTATTCTGCAATACGCCACATAGGAAAAGTGGCAACTGACACCAAACATGATAAGCTGTCACTTCTACATCGAGAAAATAACGACGCATGTAAAGTTTCTTACCTGCGCCGTGCATTCACTCATTTCAAACAAGAAGAAATGGCTTTAATTACATGTGCGGTTGAAATTGAGGTCTTCAGACGAGTATACGCAAATATATAATCTAATGGCATCTTACAAGAAATAAGAGCAGCCCCCTTCCCCCTCACGCAGCACTGGAACTATGTCTACTCTAATACTAATGGGTGCTAAAATTCTAGTAACACGTGATCCCGCCAATCCAACAATTGGAACGCTTGTAAAGTAATTGACAAGTATGGTGTATGGAGAATATCATTTCCGCTGCAGGAATTTTTCATACAAAATAAACAATTCACACTATTCTGACAATGGGCATTTAAAAAATTTAATTATATAATTAATCAGCTATTGGCGTTCCACTAACCATACTGATGACGCTGGGGCTTGATATTTGTAGGGATCTCAAGCAGATGTTGAAAATCGCCTCCAGGATTAGACTTAGGAAGAGATGCTTATGGAGAGTAATACGACGCACCTGCAGCTGCCTGCGTGATAAAGAGTAGCAGGTAATGAAGGTAATGCGGTGCACCTGTAGCGCTTAAAGAGGAGTAATGGAGGTAAGAAAGCAATTGTTGGTAATACGACACAGCTGTAACTGCCTGAACGACTAGGGATATTACGCGTCAATCAGGCTATCAGCTTAGCCGAGGATAAAATGCAATAATTAAGTACACTGGTTGGTTAGATCCTTGTGCAGCTCATGTTTTAATAATAATTTAGTAACTTCCAGCCTCCTGCGCATTATTCGCTACCCAAGACTTATTCTTGGTACGCAAGGCCACCCGAACAGCTTTTCTTGGTCTCCATGGCCTCCGCTTGCAATCAGTGACTGGTTAGAATCTCCCTTCTGCATTTTAATGACCTTATAGTGTCTAGACAGTTTAGACAGGTTGGTGGGCCTAGACGCGTCATGCCGTGCTTGTAAGCTGTCTTAATATTATGGCTGCATTTCATGTTCAGAACCGGAACGGATTCAGAGCTTCTGATTTCGTGCTCATCGAGTCTTATGCGACACCTGTGACAGTTGCGAAACAACATTAAAGTTTTGTTAGAGGGAGGACATAAGAGTCCTCCGTGTATTGCGAACAGGAAATGACATGCCATCTGTTGACCAAGTATATATTTGTACCAACACCTGAATTCTCCATAGTCGTGTAGGTACACTTAGCTTCCATTTATGGCTGAACTAAACGGCAATATTTTGAAAGAATTGATACCTAATGACGAACGCTTTTTTCAAACGAAGGCAACGTTTGCCCAACGACAACAATAACATTGGAGGTCCCATACTAAAGAATTTCGCTAATTAATTAAAAAAATTAACTTGAATGGATTGGGTTCCATCAAATGTAAAGTATCATGAGGGCGCAAATTTCTATACGCGATATCATGCAGAAGGAGACAAATCGGCTCCAAAGTATCTTGCATTTTGTCGGCGGCTCTCATTTTCAAATTGATGGGCACATTTACCCTCGAAGGTTGGCGAGACGACTAATTGGGAGTTATTAGACGATATAATCGCGTCTCCTGCGCCAGAACAATCTATGATTGCTTCACACTTTAGCAGTTTTTACCCTCCTAATTTTATTATTGAAATAATATTAGCAGTTCATCGACGGCAGACCTCCAGTAAAAATGGTTCATCGACTAGTATGCCGGCACTAAATTTGCTAATTGGCTCCAGGCTTTTTTTCAGTAAGCTCTAATGTTTGCAATGCTGAATCAATATCTTGGTCGAAAAATTCTCATTAATACGAGCAGGCTTGGTCTAACCAAGGCTCGGAACAAATATTAGAGCTCGCATTGAATTGAGCACTGCCATTGCGACTAAATTGGAACTTCAGCACCGTGCAGACAAACAAACAGAACCGCAACTGCTTTCAACCAGGTGCTTTTCCTTCAATTAATATTGAAGCTAAGTTTGCCCTTCACCCCATTTGTCTACTCTAAAATAACTAATTTCTTGCAGGAGAATTTTCAAGATTTACCGTAAGTCGAAGGTTTTACTTGAAACGAAACCTTCGAGTTGAACTAATAGTTTAAGGATATACTGACATACTCGTATAATGAATGACTGTTGAGTATTATGTCATGCAACCGGAAGAGAGAATTTCGATATATAGCAGCGAGGTTGAGCCTTGGTTCAATTGGTTTAAGGTTGAGCCTTGCTTTTGAGCCTTGGTTGAGCCGCGTTACCTTGGTTGAGCCTTGCAGTGGAACGACAAACTAAACCACTATTACGACCAAAAACAGGAGTAATATTACTCGCAATCTTTTGGAGTGTTATACACTCCGTGGTAGCCGAGCTATAGCAGCCTTTGTTGTGTGATAAAAGACGTAGGACGCGGAATTAAGAAGGCTGGCCTGCCCTTTGTTGGGAGTTTTTCACGCAGAACCTGCGACTGGTCGAGCCTTTTGGCGACATATTTGCCCGTAACTCCAGACTTGGACTCCGTAATTGACATCAATGGAGTCTTCGGTATTACCGAGAGCATTGTCAAAAGTTGCACATTATACAACGTATCAGCAGATCAGATACAACATATTTTTCGGCACGCACAGGGAGCGCAAAGAAATTTATACATACATTCATGAGGTGAGTTTTTGATTTTACTTATTTTTAAGGCCTTTTTAGCTGATTTGTGAATAAAGTGATCCTAATACCGGGGATTATTCATTACCGTAAACTAGTGATGTTATAGCTGGAACGAGCTAGTGATGTTATTGCTGGAACGAGCAAGTGATGTTAGTGCTGGAACGAGCAAGTGATGTTATTGCTGGAACGAGCAAGTGATGTTATTGCTGGAACGAGCAAGTAATGGTTATAATACTAGAGCGAGGTAGTGATGGTTATTGCTTCGATGGCTTTTGCTTCAACGAACAAACGATTGTTATTGTTTCGATGGTCATTTCTTTGAAAAGAGAGCGATGGCTATTAGATCGACGGTCATTGCTTCAATGAACCGGCGCTGGTTCGATAGTCATTGCATCAAGGAGAAAGCGATGGCTATTAGTTCGATGGTGATAGGTTCAGCAAACAGGCACTGATTGTATATATAAGTTCGATGGTCATTGCTTTAGCACATAAACGATGATTAGTTCAATGGTTGTGAGTTCGACGAATTGGAGGTGGTTATTGGTTCAATGGTTCTTGCTTAAACTAACTAGCGCAGGTGATGGGCTCGATGATCGCAAGTTCTACCAACAAGAGACGGTTATTGGTTGATGGTCATTAGTACGTTTTACGAGTGATTTTTAGTGGTTCGACAAAAAAAGATTGCCGTTCGTTCAATGGTTATTAGTCCAACTGACAAAATATGTACGTCGAATCGAAGATGTGCCATCATTCTTGCTCGATTCTTGATGCACCAGGTGGAGGTGGAATGGTCTGAAGCTTAACCCAGTCAAATTTTGGAGTCAGCTTTTGGACGCCTAAAGGGTTCAACTCTCGCCTTAGAAGTAACTCAGGATTGAATCGGCCACCTTACTGTATTCGGTTGTGATTTAGGAGCCTTTTGCGGTAATTTATTGCCTGCTGGGCCGAATCTACGTAATATAACCGAAAGAGCTGCTGGTCATGCTACTTCATGATAGCCTGGTCAGACTCGGGTATTAGAGCGAACCACGACCAAATCCCGCTCATGAAATGGCGTGCACACGTACGTTTGTTAACTCATACGATGGATCAAGATGAGAGTTGACTTAATCAATTTTTTGAGCTGGCGTGGTAGTTAGATAGAAATTTTATTACGTATACGACCAAAATTATTATTCGACAAAAAGAGGCCATTATTTTTTATCATCCTATATATATAAACCAAAGGCTGCTGAGGGCATGAAAACATGATTAAGGGGTGCAAAAAGAGAAAAAACTTGATAATGATAATGAGTACGTGACAGCAAAAAATCAATTCCTGCAGCTCTATAAGGCAATTTCTCATATATATCATAGCATACATAACTGATATGCAAGACGTTAATTTTCAGAACCAGCCACAGATGAACGTCCGGATTTGCGTCAGGGCCTTCTAATTTTATGAAAGGTTCAGATCATCATGATTTTGGGATTGCACTGCTTGATATTGTGATACCAATACATTGCACGCTAACATGCACTGTACAACACTCCTTCGCTTATGCAAACAAGGTCTTAAAAATTTGAATAATTTTAGGTCAACGTGATATCGTGGTACGTATAATGGCCGACTTTCCCTAGGCACTCCACTACTTTTTGAACAAATGAAAACAAATTTCATTCTTTGATTCAGATGACATTGATAACCAAACCATGTAAGTTTTTACGGTTCGCATTGTACAGAGTTACTTTATTGTATTCGCAGTGCAAAATTTGTTGCAAGACACTTTTAATGTTTGAATTTCACCTCGGTTGAGGGTGAAATCTGTAGGAGGGAACCGACTCTGACATTGCTGGCGGCAATGTTCAAGTGTTTCTTGTGTCGATTAGGTGTCGAACGACTCACGCTGCTCATGTCGATCGTGTAATCGTGCCATGAAAAGTGAAATTTGTGACTTGAAATTAATTACCAGTCCTAAAGGCTGAACATGTAAATTCAGAACATTGTTAGAAACAAAAATTTATTAGATTACTGTGCAGTGTGCGAAGCTCCATATAGTAAGTCCGTTGGAAAACCCGGCACCGGCTTGACTGCATTCAACTGAATGCCGCACAGTTGAGTTGTCAAGATGTTAGGAGTAATGTAATTTTTGTAATTTGAGGTATATGTTGTCATGAGCGTGCTATTTAGCTGCTCGTGTTCGTATGCTTCAGGTTAAAATTTTTTATAATTTATTAAGATATCTGGATCGAATTGTGGAACCGAAATTTGAGCATTGGCAACAGTCGACTGCGTAGAAGCGTAGTTAAGTTCACCGTGCAATCTCCGCCACCGAGCCGTTGCAAGCAAATTTACGCGTTTAAAACAAGGATGCCGAGTGTATTCGTAAATAACTTCTTTACTTGTATCCCATGATTAGGTGTTTTTTTTCCGTTGTAACATCAGGTTTGTTACCGGAGTGAAATCGAGCCATCGCTATGAATCGTGTATTTTTCGGAGAATTACATATTATCAGGAGAGAAATTTCTGCTAATGCCATCTAGCAAGGCAATGTTAGAATTAGAAAGACAAAAAATTCCAACTACAATTTCGATTGTAGTGATATCGCTATTTTTCTTTATTGCCGCTGTAGGCAGAATTTTATAGACCTGCTGAAAAATAGTTCGCTGAACGGTACTTACTAGTGACGAATCGTGAAATGACAAGTCGTTTTTAAATTTTATACTGATTGTTATCCCCGCGTGTATGCGGGAATGGAATGCAAGTGGGTCTCGCCTTGAATTTCATTGCTGCAAAAAATTCATAATGATAATATTGTATGTCATTCCATCCCTATAAATAGGAGAATTAGCTACCATATTTAAAGCCTACCATGTTGAAACAGCTTTTACAAATCAAGTCCATTCATTAAAATTGACTCTGGTAGATCCACTAGGCAGTTGTTTGTTAATGTTTTGGGAGAACATTGAGGACTGATAATTGCGGGAGTAATGTTTGGTACTGGTGTACGTATATGTTGTAGAATGCTTGGTAATGGTAAATGTAAGAGAATGCATAATGATGATGGGAGATAATTGAATCATTGTGAGATGTATAAATCATTGTGAGATATTTGAATCATTGTGAGATGTTTGAATCATTGTGAGATGTTTGAATCAATGTGAGATGTTTGAATTATTGTGAGGTGTTTGAATCATAGTGGCATGTTTGATTCATTGTGTTATATGTGAGAACGCTTGAAACTGGCTTAAGTGACAGAAAATTTTGCCCTGGTGTATGTGTTGGTTTTTTGTTAACCGGCACAGAGAATTATGTTTGGGTCGCCTGCCGAAGACCACCACTGCCCTGGATATAATGGACCATCATGATTCCAGCCTTCCGGAACCTGGCCTTCAACACTTCAAGCCGTCCGTATCTAGGCCGTGGGTCGAACCAGCCCTCGGTCGAACGGCCACTTGGCGAAGGACGATAACTTTTGGAACAGAACTAAGCTATCTGAAACCTAATCTTAGATGCGGTGAACGTAAAATTACATAATTTAACGATGCCCTTAAGTCAGATTCGATCCGCGACCTGGTGGTGCACGGCAGGTGGTGGTCAAGGCCGGAAGAGGTCAAAGCCGAGTGGTGCACGGCTGATTGGTGGATGCCCGGAGAGATGCAAGGCGTTCGATTCAGGGCTTATTGGTGCACAAAATTTATGGTGCACGGCTGCGCTCCCGAATGTTTAGTTCTGATAAACAGAGCTGGGCAGCGCTACCTTGAAATGTAGCGGCGCTACCGCTACCGCTACCGTTACATGCTCTAAATGTACTGGGCGCTACTGCTACCGCTACACCCACTAGATTGTAGCGAGCGCTTCCGTTACCACTACAGTAACATGTAGCGCCGCTACATTAGCACCTACAATGGCCAAAATTATTGGAAATCTCTAAATATTTATTGTTCTGCTATTGGGATTTACTCATAAACATTTAATGATAATAAAACATTTTCAAAACATATCAATGCAACTTTATTGCAATTAGCCTAACCGAACTAGTACGGGTTAGATACTGTTAATAAAAGTTAGTTATTTTTATGTTTTACCTTCCCTACATGGATGTCTAATTTAATCTACCAATCTCGAAAATTATCCACATATACATATTGAAAATCAGTCTTTTATTTGCATATATATGTGGATTTTTTTAGATTGGTAGATTAAAGTAGACATCCATGTAGGGAAGGTGAAACATAAAAATAACTGTAAGCAAACTGAAACATGAAAAAATACCTGTAAGTGGGAACTGGCAAAAATTTAACAAGTAACAACTAACATGTTGACACTAGTAACACGCTGAGGTTGACAACATTACACCGAAATCTTTCGTTCAGTTTTATTCTGTAATTTATATTATGTATGTATCATGCTGGTTTTTAAATAATATTTAATACTATTAAGTAAAATCTAAAGGCTTTATCTATAAATGTAGCGGTAGCGCTGTATCGGCAAAACCTCGTATCGCTACTTAAATATGTAGCGAGCGCTATCGCTACCGCTAAAATTGCTTAAATGTAGCGCCGAACCCGCTACTGAAAATGTAGCGCGCTACTGCCCACCTCTGCTGATAATTGGGGTATATACTAAATGTTTAGTACTGATGAATGAGGCAATGCAAAAGGCAATTTATGTAATGAAACGCCCCCTCCCTTCCCCTCAGTATAAGGCGGGAAGGAGGAGGCATTTTTAGCGCACTTTTCAGAGTCAGTCGTGTCCGTCTCGAAGATATCAGGTGCCCAATAAGCGCGTCCCGCCTTCGCCCCACGGTTGTCAGCGAATAGACCGAATTTTAATCGAGCGCTTATTTTGCTCCTACAACCGGAGCGCAAAGCGGACATAGAGCAGCTAACTTACGCTCAAATCGAGCTTCAGGCGTCCATAATTCCGAAGCTGACAACCCGATAAATTTCTATAGGGAAGTAGCTAATCCGTCACTCGTGACGAGCGACATAAATCATTGCTGGACAAAGACACCGATGCGAACGTCGTGAAAGACAACAGATAATTACGCATACCTGTACGAGAAGAAGATAATAAGCGCAGGTAGCAACGCTGCCACAGAAAGGCTGCAGACTGCGATATGCCAGCGCATGCGCAGTTTGATGTTCTCAGCCACGATCTTCTTGTAGTCGCAGTCCGTGTAGTTCGTCCACTCGTTGTTGCTGATGTGGCGGAACCAACGTCCGTCCGCCAAACATTCCTTCTGAGCCTTCTTGCCAGATGCACCTGGGAAGAGAATAATTGCCTCGTGATACTATGATACTAAATATATGACGATTACATTATGTACTGTAAATGGAGTCATTTGAAGTAATGATCATGATAAAATAAGTTTGAAGCCCACTCTCATGAATCGAACTTACCACCGTCGGTGCTGTCATATTCGACGTAAAAGCATTCGCGGTTACAGTGTGCTCTGACAAGCACGCTAGTGTAGCCCAAAACAGCTTTGAATATAAATCCATCGTTGAAGATTCTTATATTTAAATCAAGATGATTATAACTGGGAGTCCAATTTCATTCATCTTTCAACCAATGCGCATCTAAAAATGGTTATAAGGAAGTTTGTAGAAGAGTAACAGTAATTTAAAAACGGTAATTCGCAGTACTTCAACCACGAATAATAAATGTGAGTTTGTTGAATGCAAACAATAAATAACATGTGTGATCAAACTAAATTTATTCAAGATTCTCGTCATCTGATGCTCACGAACTAATTGATTATCGGCTGATGCTGCAGCAGATAACTTAAGAGAAAAATGAAGATGAATTTCTGGGTCAATATTTATTTATATTTCATGTGGAAAAACAATGTATTTAACAGTTATGTTTCATGACAGTTTCATTTCCCCAAAATCGTCCCATTGTGACATGGAGCTTAGATGACTTGAAGAATATATTTGTGTTCCAACAAACTGCAGCCATGACCGTGTACAAATTTCCCTTTTGATATATTTATGGAATTGTTAATTTAATAACATGAATTAAATTAAAATAAATGTAGAGCCTGTGTTTGTCCATAAGCACTACAAAAGGGGTGGCTGCGCAAGATCATGTCGGTCTGGGAATTTTGATGCACGGACCGAAAAAAAAGATGACACTAGCCACATTCTCTAGTAACTGCACCACTGGTCTCTGTGATTAAAAGTGATCCAATATCAAACGATTGCTCAAGTGAAATTCTTCTTTTTCAAAATTGATCTTGTGGCAACTTGTATCCAACGCTCGAGTCATTTTTTAAATATTTTGAGATTATAATAACAAGTAGTTTCGGAAAATGCACTTAGGCTCCAAAAAAGTTATCATCAGGTATAAATCAAATCTTAGATAGTCATACCGAATAAAAGTTTAAAATTTAATCTGGATTTTAATCCGTAATTTTTATATTAGTTATGTGTATTTATCTTGTGTATTTATCCTCAAACGTGCACACTGCTTACACGTGAAAAATGGTCAGAAGCAAGACGTTGGTAATAATTGTAAATGTCATCGCTATGTTACTAATAATCCTTATAGTTGCGCGCATATGAGACCTGGAGAGCCTGCAGTTGAAAATCTACATACCACGCACGTTGATGATTTTATACAACTACTCATAACAATTTGTTCGATCAATTACCAGTTTTTAGCTTATACGGTGTATATAAACGCAATATAATTGCGTCAGCGGAGTTCATAGAAAACGTCATTTCAACCCGACAACTAGTCTCAACTGCGAAAAGAAAATATTCAGTTACACGCGATTGACGGGTATCGTCAGGATAACGGGATTTTGCTATAGCAGGATTATTCATTTCGGTAAACGCCTTTTGCGTTAGCCTCTTAGTCCTGAGTACAGTGCGAGATAAGCGCAACAATGATCTGCTTCTCCGGAATAGACATAATCAGGTTAATGAATGCAGTATGGAGTTACAAATTAAGATTCAATAAAATGAGAAGTTGACTTCGTGGATTGCAGGGGAAGAAATTTTAATATTGACATTGGCGAGGGTTAAATTTTGGGAATGCGAGTGAACAGTACTTCGGTAAGACGAATGGGAAGTAGTGTTCTAAAATCTGCCATCCGGAATATATATGAAAAAAGTTTATAATATACAAATGAGTTTCAAGATACAGGAATGAAAATTGCGTCTTGGTACAGGGTAAACAAATGGTATTTAGTCGTACATTGAGATCTCGTTCGAGGCAGCGACGAACATGGTGTTATAGGCCGGCCACTTTAACGCGTACAGGCGACGCATATGCGCTTGGGATGCCACTAATCTGTCATGCTGTCCTGCATAATTCACAGCTCGATTCCAACGAGGTCGAGTTGCATATTCCTTCGCCTGCAATTTTATTCGCGCATTTGCAATGCTTCTGTAGTCAGCAATGCAGCCGAAATACTGGACGACTTTAACAAACCTGTTAAAGGAATATTCGTTTCGAAGGATTCTGATTACAAGTCTCTTCACCTTCTCTCATTAAAATAGGTTCTGTGAAATAAACGTAAAAATAAAATAATTTTTTATATATTTTCTTCAAGCACAATAATAGAGATTAGAGAGCCAGCAGAATCGAGTGGACTAATATCAACTAAAGTTTACGTGCGTATGACAAACACCTAGTACCATTGAAGAAAAAAAATTATAAAAATTACGTACTATAAACTGCATGGAAAAGTAAACAACGTCGTTATTAATTTTCGGTTGTACGAATTGACAACGGGTTCCCATTCAGGGCAATTTTATTGTTTAGCATTTACTGCCATTGAGATTAAGACTGCCATTTAACATTAAGTTGCGTACAAAACATACCCAGTGCAAGCGACATCGGTTATTCATTAGGGAGCGGTAAAGACATATGATACAATGATGGTCAATAAAATTAGAGAAAACATGCTCAAATGGTCAAGGTTAGATCATGAATCCGGTGTTCTGTTTCAAGAAATTCTGTTGTTGTATCGTGTACGAGATTTTGCACTCAACGCATAGCAAAAGAAGCCACACGCAATTGGAGAGACGACACGTTAAATATTGATTAATGCAGACAGCTTGTCTGGGACCCGCTCAGAATTTGGTCAACGAACTACATAAAGCGAGTCTCTGACAACACAGTTAGGCTGCGCATTTATATTACGTCTCAGGATATAAAACATCAGATCAGACTCGCTCCCTCTTTTGCCATCCAAATCTAAGAGCCCACAGACATCACACAGCTCCTCCAGCTGTAGGTTTATGAGCGTCTCATCTCAAAAATCGGATGGGAAGGAGTTTTTCTTGAGCAGCGCATTAATAACATCTACAAAAGCAGCAGATAGAATTAACATTGTGTTCGACTTCTGCTATGCGAAGGAGCTCCCGCGGGCTAAGTTAGGACATCCGGAAAGAGCCCGGATGTCATTATTGCATGATTTGCCGCGAAGACTCGAGCCTCAATTACACTCCCGGTTGCTATCAATATCACATCGGAAACTGTGATCCGCTAAGCCAATTATTTTAAAGGAGGGGCCATCAACATCACGCTATTTCATAAGTTGTACCAAGACATGGATTCTATCCAATATGACTTCCATACTCATCTGTGCGTTGCTCGTCGAAAGGAAATGTTTTCGTTCGCGTATTTGACCTCTTTGACGAATTGCAGATATTATTGCCAGCTCAATTGAAAAAAAAAAATCGAGAGCCGTTCAGCTGTCGCTTTACCTACTTTGTAAATGTATTTAAAGCTCTGGATTGCGTATTACAAAACCGAAAACTATAGGCAACTACCCAGCTGGCTGGAGAGTGTAAGGACTGGAGGGGCCAATTGCCACAGGGTTGCAAAAACCGAGGGTTTATTTAAATTTCCCAACCCACCCAGGTCTTGAAGAAAAAACCCATTGTCATATTTTAAAAACCCGAGCGCAATGTGTAAAATATTTTTTGTTCAACTTTCATCACTTAGATCATTTACACCTATCTTCAAACTGCTTTCCATTTATGTTTGTTATTAAAAAGTTGATGCTAGAGAGTGTCAACCTCTGTTACTATAATTGCCATAACTTTTAATCTAATGTATAACTGTCAATTTTTAAACAGCAAATCAGTGAGGCAACATGATGCATCACTATCTGAAAACAGTAACACATTTCTGTCAGAGACTAAAAATCAATAGAAAAAATATGTATTTTAATTCGCCCATTTCATTGCCGTTTTATTTCTTCTCAAAACTCATGTAGTGCATGCCTCTAAAAATACAACTTTCAGTTTTTTCTTCAGAACTTTTGAAAAATTGGACTTATCATTTAGAAATTTGTACCAAACTTTGAAGCTGCTACTATTGTACTTGCTCAAAATTTGACATGATTGTTTTGCTAGTTGTTTTTAAGTAGGAAGCTAAATCGTGATAAATTGTAAAAACCCACATATTCTTAAAAAAACTATTGTGTAGGAAAAAAAAACTTCATGCAAAAAACCTCATGCCTTTTTTTCTTAGGATTTTGAAATGTAAGTATATATTAATTTATTTTTAATTGAGTCAATATATTTCTATATTATTTTAATATACAGTACAAGTCTGGTTCCATGGCTAAACATACAAAGTCTATTGACTTTGCTTCCCTCAATTCACACACTTGACTGTTGGCTTCTAGCAATGACCAATTTTCTTATAACTAGTTTTATGGACTTTTAAGTTGGTTAACACGAAAAATAATATAAAGCGTCAAGTTATAGTTTAAAAACGCATAGTGTATGTAAATTTATAAAAAAATAAATTATATTTTGTGTATGACTAATGTGGGTTTCTTACTATTTCACATGAGAAACGACAGCATGTGAATTAAATCGATACCAAAGTTGAAATTGATATAATACTTACATTTTTGGTAAGGCTAACATATAATAGGAACAGAAAATCTCTGTGAAGTGCATTTCTCTGGCAACGATGTCCCAAAAATTGCTAAAAATTCATACAAGAATTTACGAAAAATTGCAAAAATTACTAAATTATATTTGAAATGAAGATGGTATCCGGCGGTCATTTGACTGTAACTGAATGACTGTAGAGCAAATTAGACGGCCAAATAATTTTCTGGTACTTTATAATTGGTGGGGTTTTTTATAACTCGAATAGATGTGTGTTATTTTAGAGGCTTGTACTTAACGTATATGGGATGACTGCCTTTATTCAAGAAGGCTTAATACACATTTTCATGATAGCTGATATCCAGTATTTTTGTATTCTGAAGTTCAAAATCGCAGAAT